GTAAAGCTGTATGGCACATTAGGGACAAAATAGAGCGTTTGGCTGCAGCACTTTCTGTGGGTGATTCAATCACGTTTTATTTGCATAGAAATTTGGCTAAAGCATATGTTGTTCACTATCCAAAGTCAATGTTACCATCTACTGTATATTTATGATTTCATGACTCATGAGAGGCTTTGAGCCTAACTTAAACACAGCTGTTCTGCTACAATGGATGCTTTGTTGCCATCGCTATCTCTGTTGTCATGCCATTGCTAGGCAGTGGAAGCGGTCATATGATCCTGGAGGTCAAGCTCTCAGACCGTAAAATTATCACCATTGTTTCTGAAGCTGTCACATTTGTTTGTTTTACATTTGTTGAACATAGATTTTTCTTTATACTTGAATCCATTGGGATTTAATGTTATTACAGCTATTTCAAAACGCTCTTTCCGTATTTCCATATTCCAATCAGCTATAGCCTAATATTGTTAAAAAAATATTCTAATCCGTTTGCTGTGAATGCAAGTTTTGTTCATTACACAAGAAATTAAATATATTGTTATGGGAACAAGTTCAAAGGTTGATTTCGTGTTACTAACATATTAACTATATTATGAAATGAAATCTTTGACTTTCTGTGTGTATGTTTGTAATTTATTGCTGAACCATAACCACATGATTGCCGTGCACCTGTTCTAGGAAAATTGTTCTAAATAAACCAGGAAATGTTCCTGTCTTATTTTAATCCCTATAGGGTTCTGCCCCCTCCCCGAGCTTAGTTACCACGTTGGCCTGATAGGGGCCATTTTACTGATAAGCAGATACAGTAACAATTATAAATTATTATAAAGTTAATGTTTAATTATACAGTTCATATATTTTGTGTTTTAAATTTCTGGTAGGTTACCTATCAAAAGCAAGTTAGCAAGTTTGCTAACAGCTTTGAACTGCTGATCTACAAATAAAATACATCTAAGTATGCATAGAATCTCTACTATCTATACATACAATTGTTCACAATAAACTACATTGTGCTCTATGACTGATAACTGATGACTGATGACTAATAACTGATCTGAGTCACTATTGAGTGACTAGTCTGACATATTTGCTTGTTTAACATTTCTTCAATTTGTTTACGAATTTAAACCATTAGTCAAGTTGTTTCAAAAACGATAATGAAGCTTTTTTAGTGATAAAGTACCGGGAGACCGAGCCTTCCTCGGTTGTATTTAATTGGGTTTAATCGTTAAAACAATATCGTAAACAGACATTTTATAATGTACAAAACATTTTTATTACAAACCATAGGCATTTGATCGCTGAAATAATAACAACTCTATAGATAAAACATGTTTAATCTATGGTAAAAGTATGTAATCAAACAAAAATAAAATACTCTTTTTATGATCTTGCTTAAGTTTAAGTCCTAAGTTACTTGTACATAATTGTTCTCCCATCTAGTCATTGAAACCCGTGGTTGGACTTTTACGCTCGCGATTGACAGCAGATAAAAATATGATATAAACAAAATCATATTAGTTTCAAAATGGTTTCTGACAACTATTTTTCACTTTTTCGCTACTACTCAAATTCAGATAAATTTATTTTCTCAAATTAGAGTTTGGTATACAGCACAGAGTTTCTTTTTTAGACATTTCTACTTAGTTTTTCTTTTACTTCTAAAGAAATTTAGATTTTGCCTTTTTCTTCATTGGGATTCATTTCGTATTATAGTTAATACGAAAGAACCAGATGTAATTAGTTTACTTGGAATGCCTCAGTATTTCGGAGATTAAGTTTTGGTGGGATACGGCTAAGTAAAATAATCAGTATTTGATCGACACTGTTTTCCCCTATATAGAATAATCTTCAGTGTAATCTTTGCTCAACAGTTACAACTGAGTGCATTTTGTAATTTGCTGGTGTACTGTGGATGGCTTGTTATAAACCCACGTGACAATTCTTTTGTTTACTTTGACCTTGTTATTTTGTTCAATTAACATAGTTACTTGGCTACCCATAAGGCCAATGTTAAATTTTTAAATGTTCAAATAATTGTGTTGAGAAATACGAATTTTCCTTGGGTAATGACTGTCACCAATCACGTTTTTAGGACTATAAGTACCTAATTCCATAATTTAGTCAAAATCCTTCCGCTGGATTTCGAGATAGGGATATTACAGACAGACAGACATATACAGGCATAGCTCGTATTAGAATATAGGATAAAATCTGCCTTCATCATTAAAAATCTTTTCCATAAAATTGGCATTGACGTAGTACGATAATAATTGTAATTTAAACACTAAACTGAAAACATAAACGTGGAGTATCTACCAAACGTTGGTAAAGGGAAAGAAAAGGGTGTTACGTCAGTATTTGACAGGGAATGATTGATGACGTAGGTGCTAACGCTAACCTACGTCATCTCTTGTGACGCAAAATTAAAGAGAAATCTATACAATTCGCGAAAGGAAGTTCTCTGCCGAAGGATTTTGCGAATCTACAAAGTAATCACAAACATTCTTTACTGAAAGAGACAGTAACTTAAGTTTTGTGTTTTTTTTTTAGTTTATAGCTTAAACTAGCTGTTGTATGCAAGTTTGCAGCTAAAAATAAAAGAAAATTTACCTATTTTAAATTCTTCAAAATGTAGACCAAAATATAAAATTGGCCGTGCATGTAAAAGACTTCCATTATTATCATTGATTATCGAATGATTGATTGGTATTAAAAAAATAAATTACATCACCATAGATTTGACTAGTTAAATCAGCTTTGTGATGGTGCATAATACTAGTAAAAAAAACAAAAAAAAAACGGTATCAGCAATATAACACATACTTTCTCTCACACTGTTCTGAAGATCTTTTCGCTGCCGTAGGTAACGACCATTCCGTACATTATTTAACATAGATTTCAGATACGATTTTTCGGAGGTTTTTCTCTCGAGTTGTCGAAAACAAGGAAGTAGCACAGGACAGCCACAGAATCAACAAGTTTACAACTTGAAGACCTTGGATGCATCAGAGCTTGACGCCCTGTTCTGTTCACATGCAGGCCTGGTCAGCGTCGGCCGGTTCACAATGGTCTCTGTTGCGGATGGTCTGTTGCGTTGCGATGGCGGAATTTGAATGAAGATATCTCAAACTAATCCTTCAACTGAAAAAGTTAAGATGTCTTTATAAATTAGGGGGTTTCTTGATTCTGAGGCGATTAAATTACTAAGCTAAGTTTTCAATTTATAATCAGCCACAGCTTTATAAGCTAATAATATTTATAATTAATTTTTTATATAGTTCAAACTCAAGGTAAAATAAAAATAATAACGCAAATCGTGTTCAGTACCAACTAACTACAGAAGCAGTCAATGTAAAGCGCCTTCAGAATTGCAACCACTATTTGCAAGTCACAAGCGCCTTTAAAGATATATTCAGAAGATGAAGGAGCAACGCTAATGCTCTCAGGTTCCTAAAGCATTGACTATAGTTTGTAGCATAATGATAGGTTATAAAAGAGTATAATTAATTGATTGTTCTCCTTTTTAGGAGGAATAAAACTCTTGGACAGTATTGCAATTATTAGGAGATAGAGAAAGTACAAATTATTTCCCTCCTAGTTACGAAATGTTTTAAAATTGGTTTATGCGTTCTCTAATATTAGCAAATTGTGATTGAAGACAACATTTTTAACTTGGAGAGTCAACTGAAAAATGCATTGACCTGTTCGATTGTTAAAAACGTGAATCCTTTTAAAGAATTAAAGCTCTGGTATATAAATTCTAAATTAAAACTAAAATAAATTAAAATCCTTTATCCTAACAGGCAAAGCAGTTTAAATGCTAAATTGAAGAGTTAGTAAAACCGTCTTTGAAAAAAAACCATATTCTAGTAGGTATTGGATGGTGTTGACAACTCTAGTTTGAATAGTGATAGGCCTACCCCACTCAAGAAGTTGCTGAGTTGGACCAGACAAATTCTGTCAAGAAACCAATATGATTTTCTCAGAAATTCCTTTCTGATTCCTCATCCTTGGAATTCCTACTTGGTGTTAATTAATTTTTTCACTTTGTCCTATTTCTATTTTTAAGATTTTAGTTGCATTATAAATCTATTTATTTAGATTATAAATTGAATTTATTTCTATAATCATTGCAAGTTGGAATATCAATACTTTATTTAGTCTGTCCTGCCTAAAAATGCCTGTTGTATAACCTAGAAACAATAAAATCTATTATGCACTGTTTTGTTGTCACACAATTAATTCATTAGGACAAATTACTAGCGTAGACTAAAGTTACCAACACTAGTAGACTTCTAAACCAATTGTAAATTTTTTGTGTCTAGTTCATGTCTGGTGACACTGATCGCTAGTGTAGATGAAATTTTATTTCTATTATTTAGGGTTAGTTTCATGATTTGTGCTTTACTATTTGGCTATATAACTAGGGGACAAGTAATTGTTTACGATTAGATAGTTTTATATGGTTAAACAAGGTTTTTAATGACTGAAATAACAAGAAACGAATCGTAAACAAAACGACCTCTCCGACAGAACTAACAATAAAATTGGCTTCAGCTGTTCCATAAGGATGAGAAATCTACTAAGGGAGTATGTTTTATGTATGCTACTACTAGAGTAGTGGAACAAAGTAGCCCCTTCCTTGTTCCATTCTCAAATCTTATGTCCAAATACATGTTGTCACAATTAACACAATGTTGTCCATTGTAATATCTATTATCATCAGGTTGTACAGTGATTTTGAACTGCTTGTGATAAATGTTTCTAGACAATCAACATTTTGAGAATGGAGCAACGATTGTTCAAAAGTGTAACAAATAAAGGATTATTGACAAGAATGACAAGGAAGGCTTCTTTTATACCCCAGGCTTTTAAGCCCAGTCATAGGCTTATACCCATTGCTAATCTTTCTCGACAAAACATGAGTGAATCTAATTGATCAGCCGAAGCTGAAATGTATTCTGATCATCTAAGATGTTTTTCTCATGTTCCAGATGGCGTGGCCACTGGTGGCGTTTGCCCTGATGTTGTCGACTTCCCAGGGAGTCTACGGCATCTTCAACACCACCTCCATCATCATACATCCGGAGGGCTTCTCCATCTACCCCTGTCTGCAAGTGGACCATAGGGAGCAGGATATTGACTCTGCGGTTAGTCATGGTTTTGCCATAAAGAACTATAATAGCGTTGGTAGTTTGTAAGAAATCTATGTGGAAAACTAATCACTTACCATTATATATCACTTCCTTTATTTATTTATTTATTTATTTTCCAATAATCACATAACATCATATTCAGACAGGTGATTCGTCATTGTTACAATAATTTATAGTCTCTATACTAAAACTATTACTAAAATAAATTTCATATGCTGAGCCTTAACATCTACACAGCTTCCATATATTCCTCCAATGAGAAGAAGGCCTTCTCCAATAGAAAGTTTTTTAACTTCTTTTTGAATTTAGGGAATGAATCAGTGTCCCTAATTGAAGAGGGTAATTTGTTGTATATTTTTGGACCCATGTACTGAGGAGATAAATGGAATACTTTAAGTCTGTGTTGAACTGGTTTTATATTGTTTTTAAATCTAGTGTTTATGAGGATGCTAATTTTTTTTGTTTATGCTAATTCCTGATTCAAACCATGACCTCATTTTACGATACAACCTTCATTTATAATTTTTGGCCTTTAACATCAAACCACAAACTGTTTGAATAGACCCAGACCTTCAATACATGTACTACCCATTTTGAATCCCATTTGTTAACATTTGTTACCCATTTGTACATCGCATCAGTTATAAAAATGATTTTTATCGAATAGAATACCGTATTTATTACATACTTTAAACAATTATGAAGTTACTTCTCACCAAAGTCTACCACTCTCTTTGGAAGTGAAAGATGAAGTTAGGACCCGAAAATTTCCAAGCGTACAGTGCGTTGCATCTAGTTCTGCGGAGATCTTTACAGACTCCCTTTGTTGTGATGTGAATTTTTGATAAGTTTTGTTGTAGGCATCTGCGTCTACTTTCCGGCAACATTCTTAGAATTCTCATCAGGATCACAATATTAGTAGTAGAGAGTCCCACAATGATCCGTTTTCGTTGCAGGTGTGGAGCAATTGCTTTCTCATTATTATTTCAGAGCATCTGTTTTGGAATAACATGAGCTAGAAAAATACCCAATGAATGTGTTCCTATCTACTATCTATCTTTTGGGGAGCGAGCTGGTCTAGTGGTTAGAGCGCGGGACTCCGGTTTCTGAGGTCCCGGCCCGGGTTCAAACCCCACTAAATCTCCAATGGATTTGATCTAAGTATGATACTGTCGTAACCCCTAGGTCTAGCCTAATGTGAAAAACAATTCCGGACTCGTGCCTAGCCTACTAGGACAAAAAAAAAAAAAAAAACCAGACAAGATATACCAGACAGATAATCAAGTGTGAGGACAATTCATTACATTACTATCTATTCAACTGCTTGTGAGACGAATTCACAATTTGTTTACTGTAGAAATAAATATATTATGAGTCTTATATTTTTGTTGCTGTCAGAGAAAATACTGGAAATACTAAATAACTGTACAGAAAAGTGGTATTCTCATAAGTTGTAGTGTAGTCTTTCTCCCCCATACAAATCTTGAGTCCTCTTTAAAGATGAAAACCTACGAACGATTTAAAAGCTTTCAATTAAATAATTTCAAACTACTCCAGGCAGCACATTAGCTTTATACAACCTTGTCATACTTCTTAGTTCTTACGTGGATTTACATGGATAACCTTATCCCTTACCCTTTGACTAATCGACAAATAAAGGGTAACGAAGACTTTACATTATGTTGTATCTGATGTTATTGATGCATAAGGACATCATGCAGGGAAATACATTTACTGGAAAACACTCCACAGAAATATATGGAAAGTTCTTGGGACCCATTCAAAGTAGAACCGTGTCAAAAACAGTACTAAGAAATTAAAACTTTAAACTTCAACATATTCAATTACATACCAATTGCTTGTGTATTTGATTGTGAATGCATTCTCCACTTCTCCCTAATCTACCCACCATAGTTTGGCTGATTTCAATTTCATATACCTTGATAACAAGTCTCATTTAATAATCCCCTTGAGAGTCTTGTTATCAAGGTTCTACTGTATTTCTATTTCTTCTCCTTGGTGGTGTTCTATATGACTTTCCTATGTTTCCATAGTCTGCAAATCGCTTCTTTCAATGATTATTAAGAAATGCAGCACAGTTTTAATTCAGTTTTCTTTTTAGTATATCAAATTATCCAGGCTATCTAACTTTTTTCATTGTTTCAATATTTACGCCAACCCAAATTCAAATAGTAAATATTTCATTTCAACCAAGCCAGTAAATGTTTATAGCAAACTTATTGACTGTTTACAATTAACATATGTTCTTGTTAAAAACATGTCAATCCGTTCAGTAGTTTCGGAGGAGTAATTGTCACAAAAAACCTGCTTGCGTATTAAATAAGTATAGATACTGATTTTGAGGTGAGGAATTACAACTATATATTCAGTTCACCGATTTTTCATGTTTAATTTTAAGAATATTTCTATTATGAACATTTTGTGTTTTACAGTTGATGGGCTTGTGGTACGTGATCGAGATAATTCAACACAAAGACGAGCCACAAAACCGAGGCACCATGGTCTCAGACATCTGTCCGAAGATCTCTCTCTACAAAACATCTCCCAAGCACATCAAGCTAGTGTGGCATGAGAGAGCAGGCGATGTCCACTACACCTTCCAGCTGACGGACCCAGAAAACAGCGGATTCTGGATCACATGGAGCTTGCAAAACGGTTTGTGTTATGATTTACTACCCATTAAGAAATTCCTGGTTAACTCTATGAGGATAACTTTACAGTAAGCACTCGCTGATTGGAAAGTGCCAAGCAGCACTAAGGGCTTATTACATCTCTCAAATTTTTTTCAGTTTGATAGCAATGTCGGCTGAGCAGGATTCAGTTGACCGGTTTGAAATAAAATGAAAATTCTTTATTTATAGGCCTACAGGGAAAGCTAGGGCCACATGGCCTTCTACTTAATCTGTGAAACCTTAACATTAACCTGCAGTTTGCTACTATTGGGCAGCTTTGTTGGAGCTGTAGGGAAGAAATTGAAACAAAAGTGAATACTGGACTGGAGCCGAGAGTACCCACTTCTGCTTAAGAGTTAAGATGTTAAAGGGACCACAATTTTCTGAGTCTACTCTGATTCTGTGCTTCACACTGGTTAGAGCATATTATCGAGACTTGCAAGAGCAGGGAGGGGCGTAAGTTCATATGATAAGCCCATGTAGTTATCCCCCCCCATACACCCCATGTAGATTGTCTTGTAGGGGACATGAACTGCAGCAACAAGGATAAATCCTTTGCCTTAATCCTTGGTCTGAAGTGAGCACAACTTGGAAAAACTATGAAAAAAAAACAATAAAAACTAGTGCTAAAACACGACACATATTCTTGAAAAAGCATTTCACATACCCAATTTTTGTCATATAAAAACGCAGGATTAAATCCAATTGTAATCAAATTCAATTTCAACAGGTTCAATGCTGAACAAATCGTACAAGCAGTTTGCTGGAAGCGTGCAAGTGATTGATGCGCAGCCAAACAGAATGGTTCTGACGTTCTGTTCCAACACCAACAACAGGACGCACTACAGCATCGTGATGGTACGCAACATCACCGTGCACCACGACACGCAAGAAATCCACCGGAGTCTGCAGAACTACAGACTGCCCGAGGTAGGGACTCGTCTGACGTGTCGTGACCCGCCCGAACCCGACTCTGCGTCTCTGCGGTTGTCCTCGGCCATGGTCGTACTGCCGGCTGCGCTACTGCTACTCTCAAGACTGATCTAACCTCGATTAACTTTCACTTCAAGTTTCGCCCTCTATTGATCAACAGGACTTCCTAGTCTCTGTTTTTGTAAATATTCATCACCCAAAGACTTCTAATGTTCGCTATGTTGTTTAGATTTTACAATTTCTTACTTTTGTTGATTTGAAAATTGTAATATAGGTTGATTTTCATGAGTTTGGATAGAATGGTCTATATTAAGAGACTTAAAATAAAAAATTTGGATGTAAATAGAACAAAGATGTTCACAATATAACAGTTTGTGGTTCCTCGTATTAGAAACGATATGCAATCCTGTTGTAAATAGTTTTAGGTGTCATATTCAATGAAACCTGTATTACCAAAGTGGCAAGCTTAAATGAAGGCAGACGAGGGCTGTGGAAAAGGAGTAACCAAAGATTAGATTCAACTCAACCAGCATCAAGTGTTTAGTTTTGAAAACATGAAAGTACATAAGAAGAAAAAGTAGTAAGGTAAATTTGTTTGCATATTTATAGTGGTTATTCTCCTAATTCTAAAAAAATATACTTGCTTCAAAAAGCTGTTCATGTCATTAAAATTAATCTTTATGTTTAATTTTAGCATTTAAATCAATTAAATATGTTATATTTACAAACTAACATCATCATTTACTCCTAAAAATGTGTCCCTAACATTTTTTACATAAGTCACGTGGCGTTTTAAATGCTCTTTTTAGCTGTAACTTTGAAAATTCTTTTACCAAGACCTTATGTAGGGTTTATACATGCTAATATAGCTTCTATGTAATATAAAATGTAAGATAAAGTTTCTTAGATTAAGTATATGTATGTTCTTTAACTGTAATGTTCTAGTATTGTAGATTAGTCATAGGTTTTAATTTGTTTATACTTCACATTCCATTAAATATTATATTTTATATAAAAATATTTGTATACTTTAATTTTATTAGAAGTGAATCCTAACTTCTGTGTAAGTTGTTAATTTTCCTTTATTTGTTAGGTGCAAACAATCAGGCAACCCCTTTAAAATAACAATCAGAATTTAAACATACAACACTTTTCAATAAAGGAACAGCGAGAGTGTTACTACTTTCAATAGCTTGCAAAAAACCATATTCAATATCACTAATTCATTAACATTCCCAACCGATTGGGGATACAGCTGGTGTAGCGGTTGGAGTGCCAGACGTTGGTTCTGAGAAATAAGGTTAAAATGTTGCCAATCATCATTGGTTTTTGGCAATGTTATCAGTTCTTTGAAGAGTGCATGTTTTCAGCTGGAAATGGATGCAAGGTGATTGTAGAGTGGAGAGATGATATGTGAAGCTTCAGCTGTTTCATGGTTTAGGATTATTGATTAGAATCCCAATGATAAAGATCAGCGAAGTTACTGACTTTGAATAGATACTGTCACCTGTACCATAGACAAAAATAATTAAATATAGACCGTCAGCTGTGCTGCGGTTACCATAGATTCTGGCACACACCGCTCGGAGTGCCATGTAGTTACGCCGTACGTGCTACGTAACTACACGGCACTCCCAGCGGTGTGCGCCAGAACCTATAGTAACCTCAGCACGGCTGACAGTCTATATTTGATTCTATTTGTCTATGCCTGTACGTTCCAAACCCTCCTTAAGCTGTATGTCCAAATGTGAAAAAAAAGAAGTCTCTCAAACCAAGGGAACTTGCTCTATGTCAGGGATATCAATGTTAACTTATGAAAATAATAAATGTTTTTGAACTATCATTTTATTTCAAACTACAATATTGAACACACTAATATTTAACACTATATAATGTACTAAAATAAGTGTTCTATTCTCAAATAAAAGTGTTGTACAGTTAGATGACTGTATATCTTTAGTCGATGGTAAAGCAAACGACCATTATCTATAACTTAACTGTGAATTTTCAGAGCTTCCAGCATAATTGCATTGTTTTGTACAAAAACAGAATATGATTTTTCTAACTACATTAAAAAGAGGTCAATATGCAAAATAGTTGTTTCTCAAAACATATTTCAATATTGAACTTAGAGATACTACTAACAAAACTCGACAATTATATCAAGGAAATTTATATTATTAGCTTAAGGCAGATAGTTTTTCTATTTAGTTTTTGTACCACACCATAGTCATACATTTATAATTCCTATTGTAATCAAGTAGAATATTTAATCACTACACACTCAGTTTAAAGAGTAAGCTATACTTTTAAAAAGCTCTGCCAATCTTAAAGAAATAATCAATGGCTTTCCATGAAAACTAAATCACTAGTATGATAAGTAATGGAAACTGTCTGTAAAAAAATGACCAAACCATTTCCCAGCTTTAGGATGTCTAGCTTTGATAATAATTTTTCTTTTTCATAACTGCATAGTCTCATTCATTCTTCAAAAAAGTCACATTATTCATTTGATATTCATAATATATAACATAAGCAATTCTGTTATGACATAAACTTTATTCTTATAGTTATGTTGATATGTAAAATAGATATTATTTCAATAAATAATACCATAAAAGGCTATTTTTAATATCAATGATTATTCAAATTACAAAATGCTAAGCTAAAAATTAAAGGTAGGTATTTAGAACTCCAAATACAAAATCTTATTATGAATTCTCTATCGACTGAAATAAATAAATTGTGTCTTTTACATATAAATAAGTATAGTAACCAAGAATTTTTATTCAATTTACATTAAATCGACCAGATTAACATTTTGTCTCATGAAAAATTACAGCTTATATTTTGCTACTTTCAAATCTAGTTATTACACCTGCTATTGAGATTCGAACTATTAATACCCATTTACAAAGAGTATTTTTGTAACTTGTAACTTTTTATGCAGTTAAATTGTTGTGTTAGCTGAAAGCCTGAAATAACTAACTGTGTGAATTAAATTATTTGTTAGAATTCATAGTGTATAAGAATTATACGTATTGTGTCCTTTGTTAAAAAAAATCATTCAATAAAATGATTCCACAACAAAAAAATTTGTACTTTTTTTATTGTAAAGCCACATTTATTTTTGGCATTCAGATATTTTATAGTTGTTAGTTACTCTTGATTGATACCAACAATCAACGCAAACATTTAAGAGATATAGTGATAACAGAACAGAGATATAATAACCAGAACAAATGAATGGCAAGTACTAACGACCAAAACTTTCCACTGCCAAAATATATTTTGAACTCTCTAGTTATTCAAACTATGTTTCTCACTACATAATACTCGCTCAATAATGTTTTTTGCATGAAAATGAATCCTCCGAATCTCATCTTACTAATGGTATCAGATTAATTGTGATTTAAAACGGTTTTAAAATTTTAATAATAGAAAAACACGTCCCATGTCGTCTTGGTCGATAATCGACCAGCGCCACTGAGGACTCACGTTTTAGTGGTTAACAATCGACCCTTGCCAGATCAAGGGTTAAATAATAAATGTATATATTTTTTTATTATATACGTTTATTATTTGTTTTAAGCATGGTAGCGCTGATAAACCAAGTGGAGATATCCTATTTTTGCGTTATAAGAAAACGTAAACAGATGGAGCGGGATGGCAGGTAGTCGGGGTGATACCTTGTCGCGAGGTGATGGTTTGTCGTAAACGGCAACGACAGATCGTCACCTGGGCCTAGAGAGGTGACGGGTTGTCGGGGTGACACATTGACGCAAGCGTGCGAGGTGACAGGCTGTTGTCTCAACACCCGACAAACAATCACCTCCAGAGAAGAGGTGACAACTAGACGAGGTGACACGTAGACGGCATCGTTATATTTTTACGAGGTAACAGGTTGTCGCCTGTGGCCAAAATACCAAGGTGATGGGTTGTCGGGGTGACACATAGAAGGTTACCCATTCCACTTAACACCATGGTTTTGGTTCTTTTAACCCGAGTATAAAAGAAGGGAGATTTGTCTTTTTTGGCTTTTTTTGATAGTATGGATGTATTGTGTTAAAATAAAATACATTTGATCGTGGTTGTTTGTGTACATCAAATAAATTACGACCAAATAAGTAATAGAAAAGTATTTTAATAAAGAGTTAAATTTTGTGTACAATCCTCTAGAAAAACAAAAACCAGACTAAATCATAATGCGCTGACGCTACACCAGCCCCCCACGGAGAAAAGGAATCTATACAACATTCTGAAAAGTAACCCGTGGTCGGATTTGTCTTCCAGAACGAATTGTATAAGACTTTGTAGATGGAGTTTGACAAGATGGTGGTAGGTTGGAGGTTTCCTCAGTTTGTCCAGTTGGCACCAAACGTTTCGTGGGCTCAGGAATAGGATGTTCACCGGCAACAATATAGGCTGGCTTGACCCTGTACAAAAATACCTTAGTTTCTTGGCCTCTTACAATGATGGTAATTGTCTTTTTGTCACGGCATATGACCTTGTAAGGGCCAGAATATGGGGCCTGTAAAGATTTCCTTAAACAGTCTTGTCGGAGAAATACAAAGTCACAAGTGCTGAGGTTCATGAACACAAACGATCCTGGTTTGATGTGGCATGATGCAGGTGTAGGTCTTAGTCGATTCATATGCTTACGCAGCCCTGATACCGATCCTTGCGGCTCGTTACTCTTGTGGGAAGGTACTACGAAAAACTCTCCCGGAAGACGCAGTGGTTCTCCGTACACCAGTTCAGCCGATGAAGCAGAGATGTCCTCCTTGAAAGCAGATCTTATTCCGAGAAGGACAACGGGCAGTACTTCGGTCCAGTCTGATTTGCTGTGAGCCGTTATAGCAGCTTTCAACTGGGGGTGGAGTCTTTCAATCATACCGATGGCTTGTGGATGCCAGCTGGTAGTGAACTGTAGCTACATATTACTTATGCCCAACTGTCGCGCTAGGTCTTTAAACAAAGTCGATGTGAACTAGGATCCGCGATCACATGTCAACTTTTGTGGGCATCAAAAATCGAGCTATCCAAGTAGAGACAAACGCTTGAGTAACAGATTGGGCAGTTATTTGATCAATAGGACAAATTCCAGTTCAACGAGTAAATCTATCTATGATAGTTAGACAGTACCTGGAAGATTTTGATAAGGGAAGTGGGCCAATTAAGTCAATGTGGACATGAGAAAAACGTTCTGTAGGTGTATGAAAATCACCAAGAGGGGTAGAAACATGTCTAGTTATCTTAGATCTTTGGCATGAGAGGCAAGATTGAGTCCATTTGTGGCAATCCTTATGAATGGAAGGCCAGATAAAATGATCGCAGATAAGTTTTGTTGTGGCATGTATTACAGGATGACTCAATTTGTGGAACTGGTCAAGAAAGTCGTTCAAACAACATTCTTAGGTGTTCTTTATGCATTTCTTCAGACTGGGAAAATACCAAAATTTCGTCAATATATGCACAAGAAAAATCAAGGCCGTGAATAACTTCATCTATGAATCTTTGAAATGTTTGACCCGCGTTGCGCAATCCAAAAGTCATGAATGGAAATTCAAACAACCCAAATGGAGTGGTGATTGCTGTTTTTTGGATGTCATCTTCGTGGACGGGAATTTGGTGGTAAGCCTTGGTCAAATCAACGGCAGAGAAATGTGTACAGCCTGCTAAATTGAACGAGAAATCCTGAATATGTGGTACAGGGTGTCTGTCAGGAACAGTACGAGCATTTACAGCGCGGTAATCACCGCAAGGACACCATCCATTTTCCCCTTTAGGCACCATGTGCAAAGGCGAGGACCAGAGGCTTTCAGAGAGTCGAGCAATACCAAGCTTAACCATCTCCTCAAATTCTTTCCGGGCAGCTTTCAATTTTTGAGGATGTAAGCGACGTGGTCGACAGTGAGCAGGAGGACCAGGTGTCACATTTATATGATGACTGTTTTATGTTTTACAGCACGAGGTAAGCCTGGAGGACGAATGATATCAGGGAATTAAGCAAAAATTTCTGCCAATGGCGAGGAGAAAGATATAACTTTAATAACTAGTTTGATTGTTGTTAGAAACTATTCCCTCGGCATTCAATCCAGTTTTCTTGTCAACCAAACATTTCATTTTCCAATCGGGTAATAAGTGATAGTGTGAAAGGAAGTCTGAACCTAATATAGGTATTGAAACATCCGCTACCGGTACCACTAGACTCCAAGGGAAATTACGTCTAAGGCCTAAATTAAGGTTGAGAGGCATGGTACCATAAGTCTTTATTTCACTGTTATTGGCAGCACTTAGTGAATAGCTAGTAGGAAAACTTTTATATTTGATAAGGCGTTTAGGAAAACACGACACATCAGACCTGGTGTCGATAAGGAACCTAGTTCGTGAATTTCTGTCCATCACAAAGAGACAGCCGCCAGCATTTGAACAATCCGTTGCGGCCTCTACGGATTGTTGCTGAGGTTTCCCTGAAAAGAGAATGGAGAAAGACATTTGGTAGCATTGTTTTTGAATTTTCTATGGTACCAGCACCAGTTCTTAAAGGGATTAGGCTCGTTTCCTGATCCACCACGAGACTGGGAACAACCCCTAGGTCTCACCTGTGTATCTCGTACTCTGGTTTCTGATAATGCTTGAACTTGTTTAGAGAGGGATTCTATTGTGTTTAATAAAGAAGCATTACCTGAAGAGACTTCACAAATACCAGGTGTTGAAGGAATATCAGCCACCTCCATGGTCTTATCAGCCAGTTCTGCCAGTTTGTCCAAGGAGAGCTCAAGTTGCGTAGTCAATATGGCTTGTGAATGAGGAGGGAGTCGTCTGAGCCACAGTTGACGAAGCATGTTGTCTTGAAGGGAGTCGAGCCCGCAAGAGACCTAACTGCCTCAAAAACTGGGAAGGCTTGCAGTCTCCAAGGTCCTCTTCACTCAGCAGCCGCCACAGATGTTGCTCTTCAGATGCAGAGAGGCGTTCAATCAGTTTCTTCTTTAGATGTCCATATTTGTCGCCTTGAGGAGGGTTCGTTATGATGTCTTCGACTTCAGCAGCAATTCCTGTGTCCAATTGCTAGACCACGTAGTGAAACTTGGTGTCGTCTTTGGTAACTCCAGATATAAGAAATTGCGAGTCAACTTGACAGAACCACAGACTTGGTCTTTCAGGCCAAAAGGGCGGAAGTTTGACGGCTACTTTGTTGACCGACATGTTTTGAGAAGTGCTGGGTTGTCCAATCCGTTGACGCAGTTCTTCATTCGCAGTTCTAAGTTCGGCGAGTTGAGTCTGCAGGTCTTCTAATGACATTGTTCGTTGTTAGAGGAAATACAAAAGGTTTAAACTCTTCAAAGAAAATAACAGTCTTTAGATAATGGTTGTAGTCGGGGTCACCATTTTGGTCGTGGTTGTTTGTACATCAAATAAATTACGACCATATAAGTAATAGAAAAGTATTTTAATAAAAGAGTTAAATTTTGTGTACAATCCTCTAGAAAAACAAAAACCAGACTAAATCATAATGCGTTGCTATGACAACGTCATCAGCTGACGCTACATACATATAAAAATACCCCGCTGCAGAAAACCTACAGACAAGGAAATCCTGTTTGATTGGATGTTTGCTGTCCTTAATTATGTCAGATTCGTCCCATATATAAATAACATTAGGTGTAACAAGTACCCATGTTTGCTCCTACAGGGACTACAACACAGTTTACTTTTTCTTCATTAGAATAACATTGGAATTTTAGATGTAGGCTGGATACTCCTGTAGCATAACAGTGTTTCACCAACTGTTACAAATACTGTGCTGTTCAGTGTTCTAAGACGAGGATCGTGCAAATTAGTCGTAATTGAGGTACTGTGGAGACCGGAGATGGGCTGCATGGTCCCTCTACTCTTAATTGTCAGCTTCTCGCCTCAATGGGTGAGCTTATCAATTACTTCTCACTTCTTCCTTCAACTTGCTAGACCTGCTCGAAGCCTGTTCCAAAAATTACATACAATGCCCTAACACAACACATGTAAAATAGTTTTAAAGTCACTCATAAGCTCATTTGAATCAACACTCAAGCTTGTTTACAGCTACCAAGTTACCCATCGCTTCAAATGTTCATCGAAATATTTGTTATTGTGTGCAAAACCACAGAGAAGATTACTTCTCTGTGGCAAAACTATGGATAATTGGTTTATGTACAGGAAAGCATGTTGAACTGCAAGTCCCGCCTTTACATTGTAGGATGTTTTTAGCCCGGGACAGTTTTTCACATTACTTCACACTAGTCCTAGACGTTGCTGTATCATCACTTAGATAAAATAATTTTTTGGTGATTGGTAGCGTTTGAACCCGGGACTTCAAGAACCAAAGCTCCACGCGCTCTACCAGTAATCAGCTCGCTCCCCAATAGTTGTAGATATATTAGTTGTCTACTGCATAACTTATTTGTGTAGAAGAAAACTAAAACAAATACCTATAAAATTTTTCAGTAACAAAGAAATAAAGAAAAACTTGTAAAAAGCTGGTTTGTTGACAATTTCCTAATTTTAAAAGAAATAAATTATTATTAAGTTACTTTCATAAAACTGTAAATGCAATACACTGTATACACTTTCAAAGAGCAAACCCTATTGCTATTACTAAAGCCTTACCAAGGCATAGGAAACAGTTTCACCACCTATTGGTAGCAATAGTATTTAATACTTAAATTTCATGTCAGTTACAATCTTCATTAGAATATTAAGATACTAAGGTAGTTTTGGCCAGCCAAGTGGTATAAGTGGGAAGGAAGTTGCCCATGAGTAATAGGCTCAATTGACTCCCACGATGCTCATTAAACTTCTCATTCAGGTCTACGTCTTGTCTTCATTTGTATTTTCCTCCCTCATCGAGTTTTGGTGGTCCCTTGTACTACTTCAGTCAGTGAGTCGGTGAGCATCTCGTGTGTGTGGTTTTTGAGTGGTCTTGGAGTCTACACTTTGGTAACTTTCTGCCTCGGATCTGATACATTTTTTTATTTTGGAAGCTAGTGTTGGAATTATTTTACCATTATTTTGTCTCCCATGTGATTACTATTGAATTGTGTACAGTTAAACAAAAACAATTGATTATTTAAATTGAAGTGCAATTTACCACTTTGGTATTACAAAGGACACAACTATAAAGTATTAGACTATACTATCAGTAGGGTATTTCAGACTATAAAAAGTATAATTTTTACTAGTTTTATATCAAGTATTTTAGTTCTTTTTTAATGGTTGAGTTATAGAAAATCAGTAGGTCGTGGTACGAATTTGGTCTGTTGAGGTTTTTGCAACTTCTTTTGTGATACTTAAACTATTTTTTCCTAACAGAAGAAACAATTTAGATTGATTTTTTACTGCTATACATGGTACATAAAAACATGCAGACACTTCCTAGACACAGTTAATGATTTTTCCTCTAGGTTTGAGATAGTAAGAAACCCCAATCATTGTACCTCTGGGTCTAAATATTCATATTTTTTGTGTGCCACTTTTGATTATGATTCAAGAGTGTTATTTACCAAAAACACCAGTTAACCCTTAACCTATCTGTCTTATAGCTCAGTTTCTATTTAAGGTTGCAACTTAAAAATTGGTTCCAGTTTTCATCTTAATGTTTAAAGATATAATACATTTTACATGATATTTTTTAATCGTTCTAAAATTTGTCTTAATTTCTCATCAATATGTTTATTGACAGCAAAGAATCATAATTTTCTTCCTCCTTATCTTCAGGTTCTATGGTTTATTTTCTAAATATGACTGGGAAAAAACAGAAAATTAAATATAATCTTATAGAGACTGATTTTAAAAGTTTTTTAGTCGTAAACTCTTTAAAAACTACCATCAAATATTTCACCTCTCGCCTCAGAGATTTTTGCTAGGTTTCTTGGAAGTATTAAATATTAACAGATAGTCTCCTTTAAAAACTTGTCAAGTAATGTAATTTAAAGTTATTGTATGCAATTCTAGTCATGAAAATCCTACCATCCAGAAATCATTGGGTTAATTAATTGTTAAATAGGGTAAAAGATTATCTGTAAGTGAGAAATCAGGACCAGTTTCACTAGGTGTACCTTGTAATTAATTCTATAGTAAAAAGATAATACAGTACATATATTTATAACACATTGTTCTAACACATTCTTCAACTCATTGTGGAACATCAGTCACTTTTGAACTCCATTCTTCTACTTTTCTCGCTTTTGTGAAATCAACTAAGTCTTATTTTTATTAGGAAAAAAATATGTTAAACAATTTTTTGGCTGTATGCATTGTTACTTAACTGCAATGGAAGTACATAGTTCCAAACATTAACAGTATGTTTTATGTTTATTGAAGGTAGTCTATATAATGTACCAGATCCTGATGAGCATCAGCATATTGACTATATTTGTTAGCATTTTTTCTGTGAGTGCTTACACTACACCATATCCAATAAAGTATCGCAATAGAGTCCTTGACAATTGCGTGGAGACTGGCCACCAACGTGCCATCGACTTTCTCGAGGTACAGTCACAGTTAACTATCTTGTTGGACAATGCAACGCACTTGAATCATGTTGAATCATAGCATCGCTAATTCAGCACAAGTTGATTCGCATCACTCAAACATTTATTTGTTTTAAACGAGTCTTGAGACTACACACATTTTATCAAGTTAAACAAAAAATTTTAAATTAGGCTCCTTTACCTTCTGGTTAGTGAGCATTGCAATTATTTCATTCTCGCCCTCAAGGCATTTGGTGCTTCAAAGACGTTAATATGCGCATATCTTTGTGTGTACTAATTTGTTTTCTTCTAGTAACACTAATATTTTGGAAGACCCAGACCAAGATGGTTTCCTTATTTCTTTTCTCAATATGTGTCATTTCCGTGAGTGCCTACCATCACAAGGGTCACAATCGGCACAATTTTACAACTGCAAACTTAGCAAACTGCGTAGAAGCTGGCCATCAGCGTATCATCTATGTTGATCAGGTAGACGACCCTGATCTTGCTGAGCACAATATACACTTGGATATTTTCTCATTACGCTAGCCATTTTGTCACCTGAAACCACAACATCACTAATGAATTCTATTTATGGCATGAATGCTTGACATTCTCTTTCAAGAGTTTCACAATATGACTGTGGACTGGTAAAATCTTTTCTGTAAAACTAAAAGCAACCCATGACATAACATACATGACAAACCATATTCCACTTTGGCAACACGTGTTATTACCTTTCTAGTCAAATTTAAATCAATAAATGAAAAACATACAAATGGGGACAAATGAAAAAAAAAACACCAACTTTATTCTTGGTATTAAAACTGAATGCTAAGTATGAACACTTTATAGGCAGCACTATGATGATGAACACAAAGATTGGCTTTCTGCTTGGGTTCCTAGCTGCTTGTGTAACAGCACAAAACACTGAGGGAGCTAGAGGAGGTCAAAGAACCAGATTTGCACTCGCAAGGAATTTCACAACAATATGCACTCAACCTCAGTCCAATATTGACTTCTATGAGGTAATCAAAGTCAAATAATCCACCCTTTTCAGTTTCTTATTAACATTCTCATCATATTTTTAGATATGGGCCTAATAAATGTACCTAAAGTCTTGCTTGTAATGTGTGCTAAAGTCGTTTGCTGTAAATATACGTAATTCTAAAAACATATTGATTGAAAGCACCTAGAACTGCTATACTGTGTTATACCTTCCTCTGTCTCTTGGATACCGTAACGAATGATCCATCTATCATATGGCTTTGTTCTGTATTGGCTTTTACATTCAGTTGTACATATTTAATTACATGTGTTTTTATTGTTTGTAATGCATCTCTAAGAATGAACTTCTAAGTACCAAACAATTGGTAGCAAAATACCGTTGTAACAGCGTAAAAAGGTTGAAGATGGGTTTTCTTTGGTTCGGACGTGAGGAGCGGAATGTGGAGAACGGAGTCATAGCTCTCTGCAACTGAATCATCAGCTAACGGAAATGTGATTTCAAGACACGAACTTGTCCACTTGCAGAGAGCTGATTGATTGAATTTATAATGTGTATACTGGGGGCATTGAGCATAAGGTAAAATCACTCAATATGGATATGGAATACAGATTCTCTTTTTTGTTACACATGGAAGAGGGGGAGGAAGAAAAATTGAGAAATAAATAGGAATATTTTTTACAAGCATCCAATCTAATTGATGACAAACTTAGATTCAACTTTTTTTTATTTATTCTCATATTCTTTTTCTATTAGATTCCATATAATAGCCTACATGAATAAACTCAATGAGCTCATCCCTGGAACACATACTCATGGAGCACATTTTTTATACTAAACAGCACAAGGGGCATAACCGAATAAATTACACACAAACTTGACAGTCACTTTTCCGGCTGAAAGCGGACTCGTCTGCTCTCGGAGCAGAGGGATGCAGAGGAGCGATTTCTTGTAGCAGCTGGCTCTGCTTCTTGGCAAACACAGAAGAGAACCGTATCTGTGTTTTGCTGTTTGCTCTAACGCCCAAGAAAACCCAGCTTAAGTCTTCTTGATCAATTTAAAGCCTGGAAATCTTTACAAATTAAATTCAACAATATGTTAGGGTTAATATTGTTGCATATGTTTGGTTGACATGTCAACTTTCAGAAAACTAATCCTTGTCAAATTAGAATCTGTTGATTAGAAAGTTGAATATGTTTTCAAAATAATATAAAATCTCAATGTATCAATAGAACAACTTAATTTTGTGTTTCATAATCTGATGTTTTCAGATTCTAGGTCTGTGGAAGGTGGTAGAAGTGATTGAGCACAGTGAGAGATACACAGATCGTCACAACTACCTCCGTACAGTGGCTGGATCCGAGTCTTGTCCTAGGGTTCACTTTGCGCAAAAGGATGACGAATTAAGAACGGTAATGTATCACTTTAAGATATAAAATAAAGTACCAGGGGACCTCTTGGGGTGTTTGATTTGTACAAGAGGTTTAAAAATTAGAACCTGTAAGCCTACAAATATGTTCAGTTTTGCTACGATTAATTAAGTTAAGTCAATTCTTTTTTGGTAGAAAATCACTCATTCTTAATTTACCTGAAAAAACTTTTTCACGAGGACGAGCGGTCTACGGTATCTTGAAAATTTCTACAAAAAACTTCAATCAAAATTCATGATACTTAACATCTGTTGACTGTTATTGCGTTAGTCACTGGGATTGCGGAACGTCGCAACTACTAATTACAGGATCGGGGAACAACGCATCACTTCCAAGGGTGCATCATTGAAAACAACAAAACGTCCTTGGACTCCAGACTTCCTCCAGACTTTTAGTTCAATGTTAGCGTATAATGTTTAGCGGTAAATGATCTTACGTTTTTGAACAATAGGCTATCCTAATTATCTCTTTGGTTAGTAATACATCATACACCCCAAATGCATTATATAATCAAATCAATGCTCAATAGCATTCATAGGAATGTCCCTTTCCATTTTGCAATTTGCTACTTTACTGTAGATGATTTGTTACAAGCATGTCACTCATTTGTTTACATTTTTGTAGAACTGCCTTAGCTACTTGACAGTCTATAAGACTAATGTTAAAAATATTAAAATTTAATTTTAAGTTTTTAACAAAAAACAAATCATCCCAGAACAGAGCCTAGCATGGATATTGTGTTTAGCCTAAAACTAAAATATTTCTAACAATTTGGAGGAAATCATAGGAGCCATTTTTGAAATTATTGTGCACTTAAGCGTTTCTCATATAGTATAGATAAATAAACTGTACATCTAACTGGAACTTGTTGAAGATTACACTCTCTCATTTTACACGTGTGATACTGTAGTAATGCTTTGGGCAGGTTATCCATGGCTAATAGCTGAGTATTGTAGCTAAAATGTTTTTTCAAGGTGGATTATAAATGTGTTTGTCCTTCACTACCTTCAGAATTTACAGTGCCAACATAATTTATAAATAAAACTACAATTCTGTCTCTACATTTCGTAGAATCATGCAAAGTTTTTGCTTTACAGCACAGTGCACGTTTCACAGTCGAAGAAAATTTCTGGTGACTTGTTTAAGATTTATGCTAACTTACTGAAAATGATCATACATGTTTTGCTTGGTAGGTCCGAATGTTGTGGAATGAAGAAGGAGGCTACATTCAGTTTGAGTTCCGAATGACAAACATTAACAATCCAGGATTCTGGCTGTCCAATGAATGGCAAACTGGTAAATACCTTATAGGAGTCTTCATACTTCTTTTCTACTTGATCAATGACTTTGAGTTAAATGTTAAAGAATGCTTGCCTGTTTCAATTATAGTCATTAGGAAATTATTTAACTTTTATAATTCATACCATAAATATAACTTGGTATCATGTTGACTAACTTTTAAAAGGATGCATCACTTCAAAATGCTAAACCTTAGACATATTCTATTTATTCAATTTTAGTTTATCTATTAACAAATTTATTCAGATTATTCGATCCAAGAACAGGACCAAAATAATGACTTCATCAAAGGGCTGTCAAATTTTACCTGTATCTATAACATGGTAAGAATGGCAGACATAATACAGCAAGATGTTACCTTTCTAAAAAAAAAAAACTAAAATATTATTTTGCTGGTAGCAATAATGTAATAGTGTTTGTAGATAATTTTAAAATTAAGTCAAAATGATAATTAGAGATAATTAACCCTTTTGATTACAATACAAATGAATGACTATAACCTTTGGAAATACAGTACTGTAGCTACGCCTTTTTCTCACAATTTGGTTATTTACACAAACAAAAGTAATTTGCATGGTCGTGTATGGATATTTAGTTGGTTGGCCAAAACATCAATGTTCAACAAAAACATGGGTACGGTAACCTAAAATAAAAAACATGAAACATCGATAGAAAAAACATCGGTTATTGATGTTCATCCCTACTGATGTGGTTGGCGCCAAAAAGTAAACACGAGCCCTTTCTTGTATGATAATCTTCATCTCGATGTAGCAGATAAGAAGTGTTAATCATAAATAATCCAAACTGTTTGGTTTGTTTTAGGGACATTGGTGGACAGCAGTTACAACCACTTCTCTGGCACAGTGCAAGTGATGAAGGCTGTCCAGTCACATCTGGTGTTGACATTCTGCTCTCCACAGGAGAAGCACTTCAGCGTCATCCTGGCACGGAACTACCTCAGTCAAGAAGAGGTAATAAACTAACATCACTGGATTGCACTATATTTATAAACACAACATTGAATTTTTTTAAATAGTACACACTACACTTTTCAAGAAATAATTGAAAACTAGAGATCCCGTGCGGCTCAATGAGCCGCATAGTATGAAACATAACGCCAAAGAAAACTTTATGCTTAAATTTGAGTAATTGTAGCTACATCTTAGAGTTGTTTAAACACTTGTTAGAAACTAATTTTAAATATCTCTGTTTGCGTCTTCAAGGTTCATCTACATTATTTCTGCTCTCAGTTTAAATTAATAACATCTAATGAATGCTAAACGATCTGCTTCAATTCGAGTTAACATGTTGCAACAAAGTTTTTTCCAGCATTGAGAATTGAAGAAAACTGTTGCCTTAGGCCTACTGACCTGTGTTTAGTAATTTAAGTTGGGTCATTTTATTTCTTTAATTTGAGACATCCCCCTAATCAAACGAATTTTCTTCGTGGATACCCTGAAAAGTGAGGTGATATCAACCATTTCATGTGCTCCTTTTTTTGCCAACTGGACTGTCATAATCTCCTTTGAATAGGCTAAAGCAGCAACACCATTGAAAGTTGGTTAACGTATTTTAACGTTTTGTCTGTCAGTCTCACGTTTTTCAGTGGAGTTTCTCTAAATACCTGTCCCAACGTTTTGAAAGTATGGGTTCATTTGTCGAAATAGGTTGGATAACCCTTGTAGCTATACGATTTGGATAGCAATTTTTGTATTCTCTTTTTGAACAGCGTATATTATTTGCCTTTCCTAAATCATAAAAATAAACTTGACCCTATCAACTCGATCGTTGAATACATAAACACTAATTCCTTCACTTATGTTTGGTCTAATATTGCCCCTAAAACTTTCAATAGCAAATGAGTTGTTGAAACTTCTTATTTTTGACTTTAAATGTCTGGATTGTGTTGGCAAATTCAGTCAATAAACCTTGTATAAGTTTTTCCGAGGAACTGGCAACATAACCTAGAAGTAAACAATCCATTTGCGTTTTTTCTTAATTGAAGTGGAGCGAGTAATACAAAAGTTTACAATAAAAACATAAGGTCCGCCAAGATTTGGTTTAATCTTACTACTTGAACTAATCATAGTCAAAGCATTAATATAGTTTATACTAAATGATTTGAAATATCTTGTTTTGTCAGTGTCAGAAGTAAACATTTCTTGCATGCATTCATTTGATCTGACATTAGGCAAGTTTACTTTACCACCGTGACAACACTATGCGCTTTGTATATTTTTTCACTTCCAAAGTGAGTTGCATAGCAGAACCATCGATGTATAGCAAAACTGGCAAATATTATTCATATCACCAAGTGAATGTGTATCTGGATGGGTGTCTGTTAGACCAGACCTCTGTATTTCTACTCTCCTCATACACATAAGATATCTATTAATTGTCTCCTACTCACGTTTTCAATATTTCTTCTTTTAACTTGGGGTATTTTCTGTTCTTCCTACAAAACTGATTACCGGTTTAACTTGGTCTTAACCTACTCAATATTACAAACATTAATATTTACTCCCAAAAAGCTAAGGAGTTTCTTTTTATAAACAGCTGTTTTTTGTTTTTTTAATTTGTTCTATGTATTTCTTATGGGGAAAATCCAACCTTTGAGAGGGTCTCACGCCCTTAAGAGTAGGAATTTCAAAATTCTAAAACCTTATTGCAAAACTACATGTTGAGACGAATCTTTTGACACCTTAAACGTTGAAATTGGTCCACAAATAAGGGAGAAGTTGCGTTAACAAAAAACGGCTTCACGTATTATATATATAGATTCCACAATAGCTCCATACTGTAGTTTATTTTATTTTTAAATATGCAATATGTTATACATCATTATGTTTAACTCTTCATCTTCTCTGTCGGGTTGATCGGACAAACGATGGCGGCGGAGTCCTCCCTCCAACTACAGACCTCCCGCCGTGTGTCCAATCAAACCAACCAGGATACTGGTGACCTCTTGTGTGTAAATATTATTCTAAATAGACACCTGAAGATGCCACACAAGTTGGTGAAATGCATAGGGTGAAACAAACCTCCTCAAGAACACAAGCAACAACAAAAGTAATCTCAGGTCATTGATTGCTTTGGCCATTGATCCGAATTTAACAGTTTACTGCACCACAGAGAAGTAAGGTACAGAGGAAACCTTCAATGTTACACTTAAGTGGTGTCTGGGGCAAAGTCCAACACCGCCCCCCCCCCCTTGGCCATAGTACTACAACGCTTACGGTGGAGGCGGAGGAAGATCCTGTGCCCTGTCCAATAGGAATTTTCTGAACAGTTCTCACCGTTAGGGCTCTTCCTTACTCGTCACTTGTATATTTCTGGCACAACATACCAGAGCTGAAAGCACTTGGCTGTCCCATAGCATGTTTCCTCTGCACCTTACGTCTTTGTGACCGAACAAACAAGATTGGTCAACCAATGGCCCAACCAAAGTAGTTCTGATCATGACTTCCATCCAGGTTGAAAGACATGTCCGGTACCCGGTACAGCTTAGAGCTGTTTTTGTCAAGTTATAATCCTATTGGTGTGTTGTACTTTGAAGTTTGACTTAGTTTGTCTTGTGTCTAGTATTTCGGCAGTTGCCATTGAAATGGTTAATCTTATTCATAAAAGGTCCAACATATTTTAATTTTCAATACCAAAGAAGATATCTCACCTATATGAAATAGATGCAGCCAGATTTTATTAAAAAAAGGACTTCTCGTGAGGCTCTTGTTGAGTATGCTTATGTTAAATTTATATTCTCTAAATAGAAGCTGTTTCTGAACTTTTGACTTGACCCAGCTGTTTGTGATCATTAAGGTCTTTCAATACATAAATAGCCCTGTTAAAAAAAGAAGCAGCTGGTTTTGATCTACGTGGCAGAAATTATCTCACTCCATTCTACACCCACCCTTTACTCAAGTTTGGAGTTAAAAGTATAATGCCAATCTCAAGGTTATATATATTGTGATAGAAAACGATTAATTAATTAATTTTATTTATTTATTTATTTTCAACGGTTCCACCATTTTTTACAATGCAAGTAATGATAACAATCAAGACAGCTAGATTTTAAATAAATAACAAACAATAATATACAATCAATTAATAACAAATTTGCAACTATAATCTATTTACAATAAAGATTTTGCAGCTTAATAATCCGTTAACATGCAAGTACAATGATGCCGAAAGATGATGAAAATGCTCTTAATAAATACATTAAATACAGATTCAACAAATTCATGAGACAATAATAAGTTCCAATCATCAAGTTACATGCTACTAATATAATGAGACAATACAAATAGATATAAAATAAAATATACAACTATACAAACAAAAGTTATACAAACAAACATTTGAACAAGTAATGCAATGGCAGGGTGAGACAATGAATGCAAATGAAGATAATGCAAAGAATAGGAATACAGAGAGTAAAAAAAAGAGAAATACATAAATGAGCTATTACGGGATTATTACGGGATCCATTTTATCTATTTCTCTTCTGAATTTGGAGACAGATGCTCCGAAAAAATGTACTAGTGTTGCTGTGTCCCCGCCAATCCGAAGAAGTCTGGATATCCCACTGTTGTAGGCATAGTACACGGGCATGTATTTTCTCCTGAGAGCTGACCTGGATCGAGTTCCTATAGGGACCTTGATATCAATCTTCTCAAACAGAGCCGGGCTATCAATGTAACCATTCAACAGCTTAAAAAGGGAGGTGAGATCCAACACTTTACGTCTGTGCTTAAGAGGTTGCAGATCAAATAGAGTCTCCAACATTGAAACAGGAGTTTGAAGATATGGATACCCTAGCTTCAATCCAATTAGCCTGACTAGACGAACTTGAACACTGTCGAGGGCGGAAATATGGCCAACTTGGTATGGGGACCAAATGACGGACCCGTATTCAAGGATAGGTCGAACTAGAGATTTGTACAGTGTGATCAGAGCAGAGATGTTGTGGAAGTCCCTGGTAGATTTTGGATAAACCCCAGGAGTGCCCTAGCTCTTGACACACAGTGGTTGATGTGATCCTGTGGGCTATGATTAGGGGAAATAATAAAACCAAGGACTTTCACATTGTGCACTCGCTTCAGATTAACACCATTCAGTTGGTAGTCAAAGTAGCTCACCTCATGGCTAGTGTAAGTTATAACCTGGCACTTAGTGACATTTAATTCCATGGAATTGATCTTGCACCAACTAGTTATTCTTTGGAGAGTATGCTGAAGAAGACGGTGGTCCACGGATGACGAGATCTTGCAGAAAACTTTAATGTCATCAGCAAACATTAAGAAATCTGTCTCAATGAAGTCTACAATGTCGTTGATAAAAATACAAAACAGTAGCGGGCCCAAATGCGAACCTTGAGGGACACCAGAAAGCACAGGAAAAGGCAAAGAGGATGAGTTCTCATATTTTACAATGAGATATCTTCCCTTGAGATAGCTTGCTAACCATTGAAGTAACGGACCGCAGTCACCAAAGCCATGAAGTTTAGCCAACAAGATTCGATGGTCGACTCTGTCAAACGCTTTGGCAAAATCTAGGTATACACAGTCAACCGATCTGGTCTCAAGGAATGCAGTCATTATGTACTCCTGTAGATGGAGAAGATTGGTAACTGTAGAGCGTCCCTGGAAGAAACCATGTTGTTCAGGTTCAATCTGGGCACTAAGATTAAACTGAAGGTAATCCAAGACAATGCTTTCAAAAACCTTTGCTATCGTTGACTGTATCACAATAGGTCTGTAGTTCTTTACGTTATCCCTGTCGCCCGATTTTAAAATTGGTATCACATAGCTTCTATTGAAGCTATTCTACCATAGTCTCCTACCATAGTCTCCTCTAACACAAGTTCATCGCAACGTCATAGCTATTGCCATAGTAACAACAGAAATAACAAAAGTGTAAACATAAATATTTTCTATATACTGTCCATTATAAATTGGTGCAACAGCTGTTCTGGTTTGACGGGGCAGCGGTATTGCCACTTTTGTCTCGCCGCAGCCTTGTTTTAGAGAGGACTGTTATTCTACAAAAGATTTAATTTATTTTTTTATACTTTACAGATCCGTGGAGTTCACAAACAGCTGAGTAGAATCAACCTGCCTCTGGTCAACATCCAGAGCTATTGCAACTCTGGCGTTCTGAATGTATCGTCTCTTACGATCATAGTGTTGGCAATATCTATATCCTGTAGGCAATGGATGGCTTAAGTGAGATTGTTATTCTTGGGAATGTCTTTGAAGGATGCTTACTCATTGACTTTTAACAGTGATGATAAACATTTGGATTAAAAAGTTGTGTTGGAAAGGTTGTATAGTGTATGAAATGATTTTAGTTAGCATACAAATATTTTTGTCCATGATTATTGTAAAATACTAAGTAATATTTAGACCTATTACCATAATTGAGTGGTGTAAAACAAGAAGTTATTTTTTTACCATAATGGCTTCTTTAGCATAGTTAACAAATATTTAGCCTTAAAGGGTTATGTAAATATTAAATGTATCTGTAAGCTTTGAATTCTTGTGTGATTATTGTACTTTCCCATCATTAACAAAAAGAGGAAGAAAAAGGAGTCTATAAAAGACTTGAAATTAATTAAATATAGGGTTGGTCAAGTAATCTCAATCTAACATGATTGTTTCTAGAAGGGAAACACAAATAGCGTTCTAAGTTAGTTTAAAATATAGTTTTGAGAATGAGGGAGTGAAACATTAATTCGTCGGCATTGCAGTAAATATTTTTTAACTGAACAGCCTTTACACTCTTAATTTTGAATTATATATTATAACTTATTTCAAGTATAATAATAGAGATGTATAAAAGACTTAATATAAGTTCTTCAAATCAAAATTTGTAAAACAAAATTAGTGTCTTTTAAACACATTATACTAAATAGCCTACTTAATATTGTGATTCTTGACTTAATTTACATAAAATTTTGGTTTTAGACCACTTTCCCTAAAACCTTTATTTCAGTACACACCGCAGTCTCTGTTCTAAAAATGCACACAGGTAAACAGCCTAGTGTGAGACTCCTGAATTTATCAGACTACTCACTAAAAATCCCTTCTACTCTGTTGGACACAGACCTGGAATTGTTTGTCATATTACTTAAAGTCAGGCCAACATGTGACCTAAGCCCTCTCAGGGCTCGCTTAGATTCTTAATAACCTACACACTACACCGCATCCCGGTCAAAGTCGAGCTTCTTGGCGCGGAGAATACCCTGGATGTAATGTGACACACAGGTCCAATTGTCCTCACCCTCCATCATCATCGGTATGACCGTGTGTACCGACAGCAGTCCTACCCTGTTGGGCCTCCAGGCAGGGCCTTTCCCAACGTTGGCAGTGGGAAAAAGTTCCATGTCTAAAAATGCCACTGGCGTCGAAACTAAGAAATATACAAAATAGAAAAGTCTTAAAAAATAAAAGTAAATAGTCTGATCTTTTGAACAACGGAAATAGTTTTTTAAACAGGAAAAGACAAAACACCAGTATTTGCTACTCAAGTCCAGCTGTATTCTAATAGCAGAGTATACAATAAAAAAGCCTTTCTTTCGATTTATCATTAATTTTATCATGACTTATAACAACAAACTAAGGTTATTTCAATTATACCTATGTCTAGACCTAGGACCTAGGCCTACTTACTTAAAAAACATAATAATTAAAAATTGAGTCAACAAAGAAATTATATAAATTTTATGTCTTATTTGTTGTTATTGTTCAATTGTCCAAAAAATTAGAGATACAAATATATAAGAAAAAATTATTTATTTTGAATATTAAGCGAGATATGGAGCTTGAAAGTAGTAAATTTTTCATCTTTGGTACCAGTTCACAGGGAGAATGGGTAATGCAATTCTCACCAAAATTTGCATTCAGGTGTAGAAAAATAAGATAGTAATCACTAACTATTTAAAATTTAGTGAGAACCGCATTACTCATTCTCCCTGTGAATTGGTACCAAAGATGAAAAATGTACTACTTTCAAGCTCCATATCTCGCTTAGTATTCAAAATAAAAAGTTTTTTCTTATATATTTGTATCTCTAATTTTTAGTAAAATTGAACCATAACAAAAAAATCTGACATGAAAATTTACGTCCAAACACCCTTAATCTATAATATAATGGCTCTCCAAAAAAAAACCAATAAGAGGATGTAAAAAAATCAATGTGTATTTGTACTAACTAGAGGTCGTCCAGTGGTCTAAAACTTGACCAAAAATATGTAATGTACAGACTTCTTTATTAGCGAATTTCCCATATAGGGAATATTAGCGAATTTCCCATATAGGGAATAAGCTATTACCGTAGGTCTCATGGTAAGACCTAGACCCGGGACCGATTTACTTTTTCGTTTTGAGGTCCCCAGAGGCCAAAAACACCATCCGTTCAAATTCATATATATATATATTTATATATGTGTCCGTTAGCGCGATAACTCGAGCAAAATTGATCCGATTTTGATGAAATTTGGTACAAACGTGTAAACCTACATTTATTCAAACGAGTTCGCGAACCAGCATAATCGGACCATGGGATCAGGGGTTTATGGGGGGTTTTATGGGGTAAAAATGGGTTTTTCTCATTTTTGACCCTAAAAACTTTAAATTTCTAAATTTCTCTCTAGACCATTTTGAAGAGCTTAAAAAAACAAATAATTTAGTATATTTAAGTTTTTTTGAATGTTCATTGACTACGGAGAAAATTAAAAAAATTGTAAATTTAAAATTCCTATGTTATTCTTATGGAGAATAAATAAACTGTTCTAGTTTGCTTGTTTATGGATATATTTTAATCAAATTTGGCAATTTGGCTTATTTCATACTAAGCTATCAATATTTCAATTGAAAAAACACACCTCAACATCTTCCCCGTAGCAGCAAACCTAACTACTCACTAAAATTAATGTTATTTAAATAGGAAATAAATCTGAAAATTTATAGGGAATATTTTAGTAGAAATCAAGCCGGGTAAATGGAAATTCACTTAGTATGTAGGTTTGCTGCGACGGGGGTATTTTTACTCCTTGCTGTTAATAAAACATGTGATGATTGTGTAGCAGTCTTCCATTTGTTTTGATTTTCTGTTTATGAATCATTGTTATTTTATTACCAGCAAGGCAATCGTCAATCCATAAGACCCATAATATTTTTTTAAATTTTTAATTCATGTTTTGTACTTATTTTTGCGCCTATTTTATTTTTAAAGGGATTTTGCGCATCTTAGTAATATGTCTTTCTCATAGTATGCGTAGGTTTTCCCTGTGATGCACACAAGCTGAGAAAAAAGGTTATCAAAAAACATGCTTGCCTATAGATTGCACATAACCACTGACAATTGACCACCATATGGTCTATTCTCTGTGATATAATATACTGTCTCTCACAGATGATGGATCAAATCAAAATATTGTCTATTGTGTTAACAAATAGAATTATTATATTTTGTTTTTAATGTTAGCGTCTTTGAACTAGAGATATTTCTTTATTTCAAGCACAAGACAATTAACTTACTACTTTAATGATGCTTGGCATGAAATTGAGTTCTGGAACTTCTTTCCTGGCCACGGGCTGTGTGATTATGAACATTGCAATTATAGGTTTACTGTTTCAATATATTGCAACTCAAGTAATAGCACAAGACGATGAAATCAAGAGTGTAAATGAAACTGTTGAAATCAAGAGTGTAAATGAAACTGTGCCAAAGTTCGGGAGGGTTATTACTCCCAAAAATTTGACCTTCAAATGCATAAAGGCACAGAAAAATTTTGATACAAATAAGGTAGGCTAAATCAGAGTTTTTTTCTTTTTTCTCCTATTTATTAACACATAACATTTTGTTTTCTATCTTCATTTTTTACCCTATTTTTTACTTTTGTTAGTAGATTTAAAACTGTTTGAACCAACTTAATGGGAAAAGTGAAATCAGTATCTTGATAAATGGAATATTTTATTTCTATATTGTATGGAATATTAATTGGCAAATAAAATCTCATTCTCATTCTCATATTGGCCACATGAAGGGATAATACAATTTCATGAAAGTTAAAAAGAAGTCTTTGTGCTTACCAAACTTGACAATTGTCAAGTTTAAAAACGTAAAAAAAACGTTAAAAAAGTTTAAAAACTTTACAATAATTCTTATTTTTGACACCTAGGGTGAAACTACAATGTACAGTTATTGGAACTAAAGATGTAATTTAAGTTTAAAAAATGAAAATAATTAAAATTTTTGGCAAGCTACGTATTATTTGTTAGTTAAGTGACGTATTATGTCTACAAACACCCAATATCACTGTATAAAATCTTAAATATCAATATAGGCCTATTATAGTTTTATGACCAGTATTACAGTAGAACCCCTAATATCCGGCCTCGGAATTCCGGTCCTTGGTTTATCTGGTCACTTCCTAGAGACTAGATACTACAAATATTTCCCACGGCTGTAAAGGTAGTCTCCATGAAATGAAATGAAATATTCCTTTATTGTCACAATAGGGGAGACCGGGGATACTTGATACATAGGGAGACTTGATACACCCCACCTAATTTATTACTCTATGGTTAGAATCAGCTGCAAATCAAACCAGATACTCTTTAGGTTGTTTCTAGTTTCCTGTGTTGTCTGGAATAATCTGCTGCACATGATCTGCATATGGTCTTGAAATATTTCATTTCCACACTTAAAAGTAAGTATTTCCTATATCTATATAAATGTGTCTCACGCATATAATTTATATTTTTTAGTTGAAATAACATGTTACATTGTAAGGTACATATTTAGTATATATGCTCTATCAACCTCAGCTCTTCTAAGTTAACCTCAAAGGAGATATGGAACTTGTTATGAAAAATGGTCATAGAGGGACACTTGATACAGTTTTCAAAGGGATATTTGATACACTGTATCAAGTCTCCCTATATTCAAATTCATCTTCTTTAGCCATTTTTTATAAATGTTTGTTATAAATATTTATATATCTGTGTCAAATACTGTTGGTTTTATTGGCTAAACTTGTAAAATGACCACTTTAAGTTTAACCTATAACTATGTTAGCTTGTGTGATTTGAGTTTGTAGTTACCGGTATTTTGCCATTTATTTTTTATTTGTGTAGTTATTTACGGCCTAATAGGTCTAACTTAATTAGCCCACTTATAACCTCAGACTTTATGAGCCTAGGCCTAAACCTAGGTAAAACTAGGTTACAACACTAATCCTTTGGACTAACTTGTTACTACAAGTGTTTTTTTCTTTTTTTTTAGATGCCGATGTTTTACAAACCGAAGCCTACTACCAATGTACGAAAGAAAATCTCATCTGAAACAATGGAGGCAGCTGTACGAGAAGTTGTTGACGATGGAATAGGATTGCGGAGAACAGCACTTAAGTATGATATCGACAAAATGACCCTTCAGCGGTATGTTAAAAAATTCTTGTCAAAAAATGCAGAACCATCTTCAATGACATTTGAGCCAAACTACCATCAACAACAGGTTTTTACAAAACAGGAGGAGACCATGCTTGATTTTCTTCCAGCCTCAACCACAGACAGACCAAACCCGGAGGCTTCTGAAGGAAACTCCTCAGACCAGCAACCCACCGGGCCTAATAACACGAGTTCAAATCCAGGAACGTCAAGCGATATTCCAACTGACAATTATTTATCTCCTGTAATAGGCCTAGAGATTGAAGTAACAAGTACTCCTGTCTCTAAGAACTTGAAAGAGAGAGAAGGGGAGCGCCACATTCTTACCCCTGAAGACATAGCTCCATATCCGAAGGCAGGTCCTAGGAAGGCCCAAAGAAAAGGTGGGAAGAAAAAGGGCAAAACTCTTATTTTAACAGACACCCCTGTTAAATTACAAATTGAGAAAGAAGTGAAGGAAAAGGAGGAAAAAAAGAATCAGAAGAAAGTGAAATTAAATTTGTTTACATCAAAAAGTAGGCCTGTGAAAAAATTTAAATCAAGCACAAAACATACGCAACCCTCATCTGAAGAAGAAGAGTGGGAGTCAAGTGGGAGTTCCAGTAACTTTGAACCAGAACCACTGTCGGAAGAAGAAGATAATTCAATAAATGTTGGAGACTGGGTGCTCGTAGCCTATAGGTCAAAGAAAAAGGTTCGTAGATTCGTGGGAGTCCTTAAGGAGAAAATTTCTTTTGATGAATGGAACGTTAAGTTTGCTCGCCACATCGAAGGCAGTAAGTTTAAGTGGCCTGATTGTGAAGACATCAGCTGTATCGATGACGGTCAAATTGAAAAAAAACTGTCACCACCCAAATTTCAAGAAAAAAATGACAGATTGACGTTTTCTTTTCAATGAAAAATTTGAAGGACTATGTATCGAATAAGACAAAAATTATCTTGACTTTGTTATGAAACATGGCCAATATCCGATGTATTTAAATATATCTATAAATGTTCTTCAGGTGGCCTAGTTATATTGTTAACGAAAGTAATGTTTATTTTGTGAAGGAAAACCAATTTGTAAGGTTAAATTTTGTCTTTTAAAAGTTCAATTATAGCCTAGACTTGTATTTTTAATATAACTGTAAGCTGTTTTTTATACTTTTTGAATAAAACCATAAACATATCTTGTGAGTTCTTACTATTATAACCAATTTAACCCTGTGTATCAAGTGTCCCCAAAGCTGTCTCAAGTATCCCACCCCTGGGGAGAATTGATACACTTTGCAGGCTTTTATTAAATAAAAATAAAAAAATATATAACATGATTTTTAATGTTTGAAACTTTGGGTTTAGCTAACCAAAATGTTCTGTTAACAGAAAAAACTGGTTAGGTGGTTCTAGGGAAAATAGGAAAAAATAGAAAAATATAAGTTATAAAACTGTATCAAGTATCCCCGGTCTCCCCTACATTTCAAGTTTTTCAGCAATGCTGATGAAACAAGGTGACATTGTCCATTATTAAAACTAGATTTACAATTCATTCCTATAAATTAAATAAATGTAATAGAAAAATGTTTAACTGTTATTCAAATATTCAGAAACAGATTCAAACTGTTTTTGTAAGAGATACATTCTAAACTCGATTTGAATTTTGAAATACTGGTAATTTGTCTGAATTTGGTAGGTAGACTGTTGTAAAGCCTGAGACTCATATAAAATGGTGATCTTTCATACAGACAGAGGCGATGTTTTGGATATTTCAAATTATTTTTAAAACGAGTAGGATATTAATGGATGAATTGATTGTTGTCATATCATTGGTAGTTACTTTTTAAAGAAACCATCATTTTAAATATATATAGAGAAGGCATTGTTAATGTGTCGTATTTTTTAAAAATAGGTTTAAATGATGCTCTTTTTGGTGCAAAAGATAGGATTCTTAAATACTTCTTTTGTTTTTTAAAAACTGTGTCGGCATATGAAGTTGAGCCCCATAGTTCAATTCCATACTGCATGATGGAGTAAAACATTGCATAATATACAGTAACCCCACCCCCCTTGTCAGTTGTGTATTGTTTTTTACATTCGTGATGGAAAATGTCCGCAATAAACCTTTGAACAACATATACAGTAAGTTTAGTTTTCAGATCAATTATATTCCTTAAAACATACATTTGAGAACAGGCTGTATTCAGCCTCTTTAGTATCATGTCTATGTGTGGTTTCCAGGTTAAATTTTTATCAATAATTAAGCCTACGAACTTTGTATGTTCAACAAAAGGTAAAGTATCACTTTGGTAGTGTAATTCAAAATTTTGATTCTCTCTATTTTGGATTGTTTGAAATAATATAACCTGTGTTTTAGAACTATTAAGTTGAAGCCCATTTACTGTAAACCAACTGGACAAATCTATGAGTGGATCTCCATGTTTTGAGTGTTCTCGCGGTTTACAGTATCTGTTTCCTGTTCATACATTTTTAGCAAAGTTCACTACTCAGTTGAGCTAGTAGATTCCCAAAAGAGACTTAAACACTATGTTTAACCAATGACAAGATGTTATTAGATACAAATTATCGTTTTAATAATAGGTTGGTTTATCCGGCCGAAATGTTATTCGGCCAAGGGATCAGTCCCACTTTGGCAGGATATGAGCTGGGTTTTACTGTAAAAGAAACTGTTGGAGGGGGGGGGGGGAGGCTTATCACTGTGAGTTTAAGTTTTTTTGTTTCTGAGTTTCTGTAATTGTTGTGATAACAGCAAGAGATAGCCAATATAATTATAATAATAATGATAAATGATAAAGATTAGCTAGGTACCTAAATAATTCAATGTACAGGCTAGACGTAGACTGTTCCTTTGAAAATAAAATAAAAATGCCAATGGCATTAAAATCTCACAAATAATTAAGCACAATATTGACTACCACTTAGTATTCAAAACATAGGTAGGCCCGCTACATATTTATATAAAGCTGTGATGATAATTATTTTACAGATTCTTGGTCTATGGAGAGTTAAGCAGTTAATTGAGCACGGTGAAAGCGGCGATGTCTTGACAACATACTTGAAACCAAGAATAAAGCATGAGTCTTGTGCTAATGTTCTCTTTGCCACTGATGGCGATCAAACGGTAATGTATCCTCAATAATTAAATGCTTCCCACTTTAAGCTTTGTTCGGGTTATCTGTTTAAGTGCTCGCGTAGGTGTAACAATAAAAAGGTCGCCGGTTTGATTTTTAATTTTAATTTTTTTTTTTTTTTATAGAGGGCCAGGCTTACAAGCAACCATGGGATTGCAGCGCAGCTGGAACAGCTTATTGTGCACCCTCATTCACAGGTCATTCACAGGTCCTCATTCATGGTCAAATCCCAGGTCCTTTGTGATCCATGAGATCCTTTTGACTATGGTGACCCGTTCTTCCCTTTGATCTCCAGTCGATAGGCCAAGGGATCTCATGCGCAGACCTTTTAGGGCTGGGCACATAAATATCACGTGGAATGCTGTCTCCTCCTCCTCTCCACATTTCCTACATAAGAGGCTTTCAACTTGAATTCCCATCTTGTGTAGATGTCCACGGAATACCCAATGGCCGCTAATAAAGCCAACCACCTTCCGCATGGTCTTCCTACTCAGCCCAAGGGCATCTGCCGCTATCGCACCAGTAGGTGTCTGCAGCATTCTCTTTGATTGTACATTGCCTTCGATGTTCTATGCCCATCCACTGGCGAACAGCTCTCCGTGCTGTGCTGTAAGCAATATGCTACACGTCGGCTCTGGACCCATTAGCGGGCTTTCAGCTCCTTTGTTTGCCCACTTGTCAGCTCCCTCATTGCCAGCAATATATAAGACCTGTAAGACCACGCTTCAAACACACTCTTGCACACTCGCACAGGGCAACAACTTCTGCCTGGAATACAGTGGCCATTTTTCCTAGGCTTACGCAGAAATGCGCCTTGGGTCTGACTCCATATATTCCTGCCCCCGTGCCCGTTGGCTTTTTCAAGCCATCCGTATACCAAGTGATCCCCCTTTTCATGTAGTCAGGTTCACCCATGCCCCAGGCATCCCTGTCAACAATGTTGACATTGTATGGTTTTTTGTATGGTTTTTTTTGGTCTGTGATCTTCACCATCCTGTCTGGTAGCATTTCCAAGGTGTTCATCTGCACCTTGTCCACAATTCTTGTGTGCTCACTGGAGGCATTATACTTCCAGTTGCCACTGCAAGCCATTCTGTAGGCTGCCATCCTTGCCTCTCCTTTCACAATAATGTCGAGAGGTGGCAGGTTTAGCACTACTGTTTCTAGATCTGCAGTTGGAGTGCCTCTCATGGCTCCTGTGATGCTAAGGCATGCTACTCGCTGGATCTTTTGTAGTCTCTTTACAGCGGTAGTTTGCATTACCTTGGTCCACCAGACTGCCGAGCCAACAGGGTTTGATCTTGAGAAAAGTTGGTAGCTTTTGATGGTTCCAAAACAGGACCCAGCTGTCTCTGATCATTGGGCATTAAATAAATTATACTGACTGATGAAACAGCTGATCTTATAGTCAGTAACAAAGATAGACAGATCATCACACAACACTCTACGCTACCATTTACTCATATTTGGGTTTAAATACACACCTAGGTGGTGTTCCCACAGTGGAGGATCTAGAACAGTCACAAGGGGGGAGGGCACACCGGGGAGTCTCCAAAAAGTCTCCAAAATGGTTGTTTTATACCATTTTTTTGTCCAAAGTTAGTGTGACAAATTATTTTACGCAATATGTATGCACTACTGTATTACATGCAGTAAAAAAAATATATATGTAGGCCTCCTTTGCCCCCCCCCCCTCTGGATATGCCACTAATGTCTCAATGATAATTATTGATGATTGAATAATTGGATTGATAAACTTATAATGTTTTCCTAACCTTTTTACTTAAGCATACAAAATAATATGAGGTGTTGGAAGTCTAGTGGTTGGAGTGAGGGACTTTTGCCCTAGTTTTAAAATCATGGCAAACACCAAATCCAAATACCCTAAGCCAGGTGATGATCCCAAGTCCTTATGTTTCAAAGCTTCATATTAAGCCGTGGTTGGACCATCTCTCTCTGGCAGAGGAGATTTCCCTCCTCTAAAAACAAACAGTGTCATACACAAACAATTGAATATTAACAATTATCAAAACATTGCTTAACAGATCCGAATGCTATGGATCGAGAAATCCACTGGTGTTGGATCCAAAAAACGAGATGATTCCAAATACGTTCAGTTTGATCTTCGTATGAGTAACATACAAAATCCTGGATTCTTGTTGTGTGTTGGATGGCAGACTGGTAAGTAAGCCCCAGTATAATATATATATTTTTGCCAGATCAGGTTAACCCTCTCTAAGCGGGCGCTTGCGGAGTTTTCCTCTGCACTTGTAGGTTTTTATACATAATTTGCCTCCAGGATTAATCTATTGACATAAAATGAGGTTACTAACCTGTCGTCAATCAAACCTCCTATTGTCTTGGATGACTATAGTTTTGGGGTTAAAACCCCATTTTCAAATCTTCTCTTTAGTCGTCAAATGTGCAAGAGAATATGTCTGACATTTGACGACTGAAGAGAAGAATTGAAAATGAGGTTTTAACCCCGAAACTATAATCATCCAAGACAATAGAGGATTGATTGACGACAGGTTAGTAACCTCATTTTATGTTGTAGTTTTTGTTAATATAAATATGCATAATGGGTGTCGGCAGTCATGTCTGGCTCTACATTTCACACGCCTCATCCTGGGAATGCCCCAAAGCTGTTTTTACCCCCAAATTCCTCCTCATTTTGTTGTCAGTTGCAATTCAGTAACGTGGTGTCAGTTTGCGGAGGTTTATTCCGCGTGCGCCCTATCGCATAAGTTTTTAGCACAGAATTTATTTCCTCATGCGCTATTGTCAAACTGCGTGTATATTTTATACATACAAAATTATAAACATGTATTACTGTATAAGGAATATTTTTCAAGTCATCTCAGGGTTTATCTTTTTTTAAACGGTAACGGTAAGTGCTGATTTAACTAAGATTATCTAAGATTTAACCTAGCGCTCATGATTGTAGTCTTTGTTCTCTTTTTACTATTCCAATAACAGAATAAAGATCAATTATTACATCTCCAAATTCTCAACATTCAAGTTCTGACAAGCTCCTGGTAGATTTCTTCAAATTATTTTGACAAACTGCAGTTGTATGGATCTTGTCAATTGCAGTGGCAAGCAGGATGTGCATGCGGATATCCCATCCTCCAACACTGTCATACTTTTCATATTTTGTACAGTAATCTCAACACAATTAACTACCTGTAACATCTGTACATGTATCATGGACAAGTAGAATTAAATATAGACCGACAGCAGTGCTGCGGTTAGCATAAGTTCTGGCGTCCACCGCTAGGAGTGCCGTGTAGCATGTGGACACCCACACCACCTAATTGACAAGATCTAATTGACCTTCTATACCAGTGTTTATCAACTTTACCAATGTTTGTGTAACAGGTACTTTGGTGGATGACAATTACAAACAATTCTACGGCACAGTGTTGGTTATGAAGTCCAACAAGTCTCTTCTAGTACTGACATTTTGCTCTTCCGAAGAAAAACATTTTACCGTTATCATGGCCCGACACTTCCTCACTAAGAAAGAGGTAAAGAATTACAATTTTTTTGGTAAATAAATAAATTTGCTTAGTGTGTGATTTTCTGAAATTTGAAATGTGAAATAAAAACTTCTTCGAAAAAACCATGCACAAACAAAACAATTCATCACCAGTCAATATCTTCTTCTTCTTCATGATGTTCCAGTCTAGTGAGCTGAAACCCAACTGGACTGAGGCTGCTTTAGGACTTTGTACTCTTCAGACAAAGAATAATTGATATCTGAGCTGTACTCTCCATCAGTGATTTTAATTCAATTATAAATATTATCAATTCTTTGGACAGTGGCACACACTTTGGTGTGTATTTCTAAGTTGAACATGATAGCTAGGTAAATATAGAATGAAGTGTTGTAGCTATACTGACTAAGATGTAAAGATCAGCAGTTTCTTAGGCGGTCGACACACGGGAAGACTGAAACCCAACTAAAGTTGAACCAACTTTTTTGTGACGCGATTACGATTGCAGTTGCGTTGGTTATATCCGCACACGGGCGCGACTGTAGTTGAGTTGAGACAGTAAATGAGTTCTAATTTTGTTATAACGATACTGTGTACTGTGTATGGTGTTTGAAATGAGTGGTAGGGATTAAGAAGCCCTGGTGTTTTATAGACAATCAAGAACGTAGAAGGTATTGGGTACATCCTTATGTTAAAACAAATATTAAATGTAGGCTCCTTGTAGCTGCCGCTGCATTAAAAGATACAGACGCAAAATTTCAGTCTATGAACAGGATGTCAAAAAGTACTTGATGTCAAAAAGTACTGAGTTATCGCAGTTGGTATGCCCGATCCTTGAAAAGCGCAATACAAATATGCGAAAAGTTGTTCAAACCAGGCGACTGAAATCACCTAGCAACCGGCAGGTCCGGTTGCTTAACGACTGATCGCCGACTGGTCCTCAACTGGTCGCATCGCAGTCGCACCGTGTGTACTGTCCCACCTAACTACATTGGTCGGGACGCTGGCGACTAGTTTATCCAACTAGTTGCCGATTTCAGTTGGAAAACAGTCTTCCCGTGTGTCGACGGCCTTAGTCTGAATCATATAAGCCTGACGACCAAGGGCAGCTGGATCCAGTTCCAAGCCATTAAAAATTGATGATTCCAACTTCTTCCAACTACCTAAAGGTGATTTTTGAGACCTATTAAAACAGGTCTTACTGGTGTCTGAGCTTTTCAAACACTGCAGCTCAGTTAGCCAAGAATTGAAAAGAGATATTTCTGGTTCAAGACCACCCTAGCCACTATGTTACCATGTTTTGCCAAGGTGACTTGTAACAATGCTCCACTTAACGATTACAGTAAATGTTTCAAATAAATCTGCATACCAGGAAGTCTATGCTGGCCACAAAGGCAGTATAGTTTAAAAACAGTACCAATCAGGTGTCTCTAACAACAATGCCTGGGGACCTTCTTTACTTGACCTGTTATGTCTTGAATTTGAAATTATTGTTGCAGAAACACGAAGTATATAATCAGCTACAAGGGGTCAACTTGCAACTGCATCAATTCTCAGATTATTGCAGCTCAGCATTCCATGTTTCTTCCCTTACACTGATGTTGGTTGTAGCTGCCTCCTTTCCAATTTGGCTGTCTTAAATATTTGGATCCATTTCCAACAGTTTTATAAACAGTTAAACAATATTGTGTCAAGAGTCATGTAAAAAGAAAGTTTCAATTAAATGTTTATTTATAACATTTGATTTTTACTGAAACAAAATTATGAAAAAATATAGTTTATCATTAGGCATAAGTGTCTTTCCAGCCGTCAGTGATTTTCCACTTGAGCTTATGTCGAAAAGAGGTTACTTTAAGCCCTATCGATGAAATTTCAGTATATTTTCATTGGAAAAATTAGCAGAACATTTTGCGGTTAAATGAAAAAATATAGTTTATCATTAGGCATAAAGTGTCTTTCCAGCCGTCAGTGATTTTCCACTTGAGCTTATGTCGAAAAGAGGTTACTTTAAGCCCTATCGATGAAATTTCAGTATATTTTCATTGGAAAAATTAGCAGAACATTTTGCGGTTAAATGTACCTACAGATGATGGTTGGACTCCCAACTTATTTTTCCTTCGGGGGGAAAAGAGCTTATTTAGCTTCGCTAAGCTTGTATTTGTTATCGTGTTATACCTAACTGGTTATTGGTTTTAAAAACCTCAATATCTCTTTAAATTAATCTTTTGCTGAAAGACTGTTTTATCTTATTTTAATTTATAGTCATATGTTGAATTGTTTCAAAATGTAAATAAAGTTTTAGTTTGTTGTTTTGTTTTTCCTTGAACACAAGCTTAGTTTTCTTCTGTTAAAATTTAATCTGGTATTTAGTTTCTGAATTTAATTCACTACTGAAATCGTCCGTGGTATCACTATAAACCGTGAATCGCGTACAGTGACGACTGCAAATGGTGACCGTGACAGGACTGGCATCAGAAATGACCAAACTAGAAGCTGATTCAACGGCAATGCAGGGGAAAGCTCTGGAGGGACATAGGCTAACGGCTTCGGGAGGCGGAGGTGACTTGGAGAGGCGCCTTCGTCTGGACCTTAAGGAAGAAGGTGAAGACCGTGACACCTGCGGGTTGCCACCACTGGTAGAAGGAACTACGCAGTTGGTACAGCAACCACGAGCAGGGGACTGGGTGAGTTTCTTTCTAGAGAATTTTTTAGCACAAGTACTGACTCAGTCAGAAAAAATGGATACTTATTTGGTACATATTGACAGTAAAATTTCGTCCTCTATAAGAAAATTACGCAAAAACATTCAAAATTAGATACAAGAGTTGGACCATTAGAGTCAGATGCTGTCATTGAAACTTTTAAAGATCCAAAGCTGGAAGATGGAGTGAATACTAACACTGATGAATCAAGTGATTTGGACATCAGAGTCGATGTCATTGAAACGAAGCTTAGCAGCAGGCGTGATGACCTGGAGAAGGACAGGATGGTCTTGGACCACTTGGTGGATCACCGAATGGATTCCACGGAACAAACCGTGTTGGACATTGGGCCAATCTCTGGTTCTGTGCATTTCAACAAGGAGGTGAGTGCGATGTACAGAATTATGGCTGAGAAACTGTTCATGGACGAGAAGAATACTGGCGAGGAGACGACATGTGGTGTGGACGAAGGGGATACTGACGAGGAGACAACATGTGATGTTGAAGAGGTCCCCTTGTCGGTTGGAGACTTCCGGGAACACGCCAACCACCCCGCGTGAAGAACTGCTTTCTGCAATAAATGTTGCGCCCTGGGCTTGCTTCAAGAAGGTTAAGGATAGGCAAAGTGGAGAGGAGAAGATCAGGCACTGGGGTAAGACGATTTCTGGCCACAACCGACTAAAGGTAAGATATGAAGAGAAAGCTGAAGAAATGGAAGACCTTTTCAGACAGCTCAGAAGTTGGAAGACAGGGCAGCGGATCAACCAGTCTGAGAGAAATGGTAAAGGTAGAGGGATTAATGGACAAATCTTTTGCAGAGAAATACACAGATAAAGAATAAATACACAAGTCCCCAGAAGAAGAAGACCAAGTGTAAAAACGGTCTATGTTGAATATTTTTCAAATCGATATTGAAGGTTGTAGGGGGCATAATTGTTGTGTTATGCCTAATTAACTGGTCGTTGGTTTTATAAACCTCAATATCTCTTTAAATTAACCTTTGTTGAAAGACTGTTTTTTAATTATTATTGAAAGACTGTATTGTCTCATTTAAATTTATAGTCACATGTTTGAATTGTTTCAAAATGTAAATAAATTTTTAGTTTGTTGTTTTGTTTAGCATTGAACACAAGCTCAGATTTCTTCTGTTAAAATTTAATCTAGTATTTTGTCATTTCTGAATTTAATTTACAACCAAAATCGTCCTTGATATCACTATTAATCATGAATCACATACAGTGATGACTACATTGTGATATCGGTTTATGCTGCAGTGTAAGAAAAATATAATAATCTTAACAACTATACTGTGTCATGTGAAGAAATGCAAAAACAAACTAGTATGCAAAATACAAATTCCAGTTAAAACTGCTTAACATTTTCTCTTTTATGTTAAAAATTACCCGTGCTTGATTTGGGGGTGGGACGCGGCAGATCGGAGTTCCGCTACCTCTGTTTCAGAAAGATAATTATATTGGCATAAATGTGTACATAAATAGGTTTTAAATCACATTAAATAGGTTAGAGCTCCGGCACCTATTTTTTTTCAAATAGAGCACTGAAAATAACTATTTATACTGTATAGTTAGATAGTACAGTAGATATGATTTTAAAATTTGCTGCTTTTAGTAATTTGTTTACCATCTTTTATAAAATAAGAGACTTTCACTTACCTCAGAACATGAATGTTTTTTGTATATAATAATAAGCTATATCGATCCAGCCATTAATGAAATCAGAGAAATATTCATCTAACTAATTAAATATATGTTAGATCACAAAAATCTTTTGCCAAATCATAGTTTTATGCAAGAGACTCTCTCCAAGAAAATGAGTAGAAGTTCCTCCTCGCCTCCCCGTTTGGTAATAGAGAAAATAATACTAAAACTATATCTTTTAACTATCCACCAATTATTTACAGAATGAGTTGAAAAGTGTTATATTACTTTATTTACTAATCTGAAAGTCAAACAGATTCCTGCTACCATGTCTACAGTGTTGTTTGGATCAGAGTATTGGAGAATTGTCCAAACAAGGTAGATTCTCAACAAACATTGAGCGCCTTTTGAGAGATTAAACATTTCAACTTGAATCTAGCCTTAGCACAGTGAATATTTTTCTATTATGCCTATTCAATAGAGTTCTATTCTTTCATTTTAGATCTTTTCTGTTACCATTTTAAGGTTAATGCAAGTTTGTCAACTGTATGATGGAAACCTGTTTTATATGGCAATTGTATTGAGTATTGTAAGCATATTACATAGCTCCCCCGTGACCACTGACCACTATACACCAACTGTACACACTTACTGTAGTTGTGACATGGGTCCAATATTTTTTTTATTACGTCGGCAACTAGGCCTACAGAAATAAAAAAAAAATGTGTAAAAAATATCCATTTTGTATACAGGATGTTCATTTTAAAACTTTCCATGTTTGTTGTGTACAAAGGTAAGGCTTTTAACACTTGTTTGCTCTCATTTCCCTCTAATTTGGCCATGCCAAATCCAATCAAATAATTTTCAATTTTAAAAATGGCCCAAAAGGGCCCGATTTGGGGGGTTGGTGATAGGGGTGCTTTTTGAGAAATGTTCAAAATGTAAACATGGGTTGTGTGATACATAAATTTAAAGGTCTAATCACCCCGATCATTTTGGTGCAAAACAGTTAATTATCTGTAACCGTATTTACATGGTGAGTTAAAACGTTTGAGGGCATTTTCCTTGTTATTTCCCAATTTAAAAAAATCTCAATCTTGAAGAATAAAAGAAAGCTGAAAACTCTAAATTCTTAAACAACAAATAACAAATTTCATATAATGTGAAAGGTCCTTTTTAAACAAATATTTTACGTTTTTGAGTTTTTTTTCTATCTATTACCGCTTAAAAATGGCAGATACGCATTGCTGCATTCTCTCTTGGGGCAAGCTACCATTCCACTCAGTTGAATCAGACGACGCTCGTCCCAGAAAGACCAAGTTTCGACAAAGCATCTTTCCTCCGAGTACGTACTTGTCTTGTAGTCCATTCGCGGGGTATTTCCTGTACCTATATATTTTTATGTTGAACAAAGTGATTTTTGATTTGATTTGATTTATATCTTCACTTAACCATAGAATCTGACATATTATGCTGATTAAAAAAAACTCGCTATTCATTCCAAGAATAAATATCAACAACACAAATTTGGTAAGACGTATCAACACAAAACATAGTTTAAATTTGTCTTCCAATTGTAACCGTTGTACAAGTTGAACTGTCATAAAACTTAAATAGCATTTGAAATTTCCGCGGGTTGAAGTGGTTCAAAGTGGTGGAGATAATTATGAATTAAGTGGATCATCACGTCAAATTGCTCTGGAAGGAATGAAAGAAGGGGGGGGGGGTGAAAGGGGGAGAGAGCACGTGTAAGTGAATCATCGTGCATATTGTGTGGCTATTGACCTACAGATTAACCATGCTTGGCTCTCCGGTGTATTGTGGGATGCTTTCGTTATATAAAACATGCGGGGGTTTTATTTGAAAATTATATAAATATAAAGATAATTTATTAAATAAATTACATCCTTCTTGCTTCATCAAGCAAGCTGCTTAACACTAAGGATGACAAACAACAATTGATGCAAAAAAAGTTATAATAAAAAATGCACAATAATTTTGATCTTGATCAGTTATAGCCCAGTTCATAAAGGTGTTGTAGAGGGGAATTTATTTGTGGGAATGTGTTCAGGTTAGTTAGAAGATAAAAATACTAAAAGTCCCCGCCCCTAGCCCTCTGCTTCACCGGTGCTGGGGGGGGGGGTAAGATCCAATATTTAGTTTCTTATACTCCTACACTGAAAACCGTGCACGATAACATTCTCTGCAATAATACACATTCTTTTATAAATAGATTGTTTATATAAATTTAAATAAGTGTGTATATTTATCATGGAAACTGGTAATTTTAGCATGATTACACACTATAGTTCGGCCGCTTAGAAAACGACCTGCGCGCTAAAACTAAACCAATGCTAGAGGAGGTCGCTTTCTAAGC